AACATGTGGTATTCTCTTTCATAGAATAGGCAGAGGCTTGCCTACAAGCCGTTTCATCCACAGTTCAGCTTGTTGCAGTAAGATGGACAAGATGCAAGACTACGTATAATGTTGTAAGTACCCGCCTTAGTTTCAAGTGTCGTTGTGATAAGATGCCCTGGTAAAAATCAACTTAGGTAGAAGAGTTAATTGGCTCATGATGCCTGATTACAGTCTTTTTATTACAAATTGGCCATGGGAGGAACTTGAAGCCGCTGACTGCACTACATCACACTCTAGAACAAAGAGCAGTGAAGTAATGTGTACATAATTGCACTCAATGGCATTCCTGTTTCCATGCAGTTCAGAGCCTACCCCCTCACACTCACTTTCCACCTCAGTTAGCCCAGTTAAGATAATCCCTTTCTGGTGGGCTCACAAACAGCCCTAATGGACATAGTTTCTCACTGAAAGACCCTTCCAGGGGATTCTGCACTGTGCCAAGTGGATAATGCTAAGCTTCATACTACTAAGTTGAATTGTCTACTAGGGAAAAGGACAACTATGTTGGGTTTTTTAAATTATTTATTTATTATTCATTTAATTTGTGTGCATAAGTGCTTTGTCTGCATATTTTGTCTGTAAACTACATGTGTGCACTATCTTGGAAGGCTAGAAGAGGATATCAGATCTCCCCTGAACAGGAGTTACAGATGGTTATGATTTGCAATGTGGGTGTTGGGAATTGAACCCATGTCCTCTGGAAGAGGAGTTAGTTCTCTTAATGGCTGAGCCAATTGTCTAGCCCTTCAGTAATGTGAATGTATGCCTCGGTTTGAGGTGGTTGCTTCATCGAGCCTGTTGAGACAAGGTTTGCTGTTTGTTTGTTTGTATTTACAGCCCATCCTTCCTTCAATTTTGTCAGTGTATCTATCTCATATCCAGCCACAACCCCTCTCTTATTAATTTTCTTCTATTCCCAACATCACTATTTTAACCCTAGCATTCAGAATTCATAACACTGTGTTACCTTTTCATTTTTGGTATTACTCTAAATAGTTTTTTTTATTTATAAATTAAAATACTACTGAACTTTTATTCCATAACTACACTTTTCACTTAACTTACTTGTTTTCTCCTAAGCTTTTTTTTTTTTTTTTTTTTTTGGTACATTTAAGTTTCTATGCCCAGATCATGTAACATGAAAAGACAGGTGATTTAATTTAAATATTTCTGATGATGACAATTTTCATTTCTTTCTCTTGTCTAAATGCTTTATCTAGGACTTATGTTACTTTGCTAAATTGAGATGATAAGAGGGAATGCTTTTGCCTATTCTTGCAGTTAGAGAGAAAAAAAACTAACTTCTGTGTTGAATATTATGATAATTAAGTTTGTCAAGTAATACACTTGTCATGGATTAGTTGTACCAAGGTATCTTCTTCCTGTATAGAACAACTTGTAAAAAAAAATATCATAAAAAATACTTGAAGGGACTAGAGGGATGGCTCAGCAGTTCAAAGTGCTGGCTGCTCTTCCAGGGGACCCAGGTTCAATTCCCACTACCCACATGGTAGCTCATAACTGTCTGTATCTCCTGTTCCAGAAGACCCAACCCTTACACAGATATGCATGCAGGCAAAACACCAATAAATAAATAAATACATTTATTTAAAAAAGGAAATACTTGAATCCATCAAAACTTCTGCTTTTATTCTTCATTTTGTTAATGTAGTTCACAGTAATTAAAAATTTTTAAATTGAGTGATATTTATATCAAAGAGATATTATACTACACACTCATGTTAATGACTTTTTGATGTGCTGGTTTTCTGATGCTGAGGTAATATACAGACTAACTCTCAGATAATAGCCCAGAGAGGAGGGAGCTGCATTATAGGGCCATTTCATGACCCATAGTGGAACTACATTTAGCAGGTCATATGCTGAGTAGATCTTCTGGGTTCCTGTGTATGTGGATATGCTTCCAAGCTGCAATTGTGAGGGGCTAAGCTGAGATTAATCTTCTTAATCTCTTCTCTGTCACTATAGATAAAACCTGTGGTGGGTTAATTCATAAAGAAAAGAGGGGGATGGTTTTTTTTTTTTTTTCTACCCTTTTTTTTCCCTTTGTGGTCTGGTTGCTGGGAAGGTGTCACCAATTGTTTGTCTTCTTGTCTGAGCCACATGCCATACCAGTTGGTATACAGAAATGACTTTGTGATACCTTGTTCAGAAGGAAACTAATCTAGTCTCACGAGAACTACAATAATAATTCCATCCTGAAAACATAATAATTCCATCCTGAAAACAGAATCCCATGATATAATTGCCATCCCAAGATTCCCTGTGTTTCAACGTTTTGTACTGATTGTGAGAGTTGGAGCTCGGATGGAAAGGTATCCTGGAAGGCAGGAGCCAAGGAATACCTCAAAGTTACTGTAAGTGTTACAGCTCTGCTCCCAGGAAAGATTTCACAATGCAAGTGACAACTCTGCTTCGGGGTCTGGGAGAGTTTCCCTGGCAAAAGTGTTACAGCTCTGCTAGGGGAAAGCTTCCCCCCAAGGAAAAATTTTCAGTTCTACGCCACTCCTGTGAACTATGGTACAGCTGTGCTCTGCTTCTGAGGAAGTGTCACAGCTGGGTTCAGGTCCTGTGCCACATGCAATCCTTGCTCAAAAGATTCACTGGGAAGGGGAAAATAATTCCGGGGGTGGGGGTGGGGATGGCTTTTGCTAGAATGAGAAGCAGTAGCAAACTGAACAGAATATAGAGCCTATATAGGGTTTCTTGGGGAGAGCTTTACAGAGTTGCTTGGGATTGGTGGGTTTTTGTAGCCTCATTATGGGGCAAGCTCAGGGATTGGTGGGATTTGTGCTCGGGGAACTCAGGGATTGGTGGAATTTCAAGCCTTGGTCCTGGAGTCAAGTCCAGGTCAGGGTGTTCTTGGCCCTGATCTTGAGGTCAAATCAGGGTTAGGGTGTTTTTCCTTGGCTCTGGTTTTAGGGTCAGGATATTTTTCGTTGACCCTTTTTTATCTTATCCTGGCCACCATAGTCCAACACAAGTTATAACACAGACCTTATACAAATGATCAGGATCACTTAAATCGTAGGTTAGCCTCGTGGCTTTCCCAGGATTACAGGCATGTACACATAAGAGGACCACTGTGTCCCTTTGACAGAAACCCAAAGTGTCCTCTATTGTAAAAGTGTGTGATGAGAAAAACTGATTTCAAAATCAGACGAGTATGAGAATTTCCTGTTCAACCTTCAGTGACACATTAGTGAGAAATCTCCTTTTCCACTCTTGACTCACCCCGAGCCCCAAGGGGCAACCTGCTTAGTTCACTGTCACAGTTGTCCTAGATTTCTGCGACAGACTTTCACCTTTTGGTGCTCAGCTCCCACAGGCCTCCTGTGAGCTCCACCTCACTGCAGGAGGCTTGGCTTTCTAGCAACAGAGGGAGCTTCTTAGTGTCCCCTAGGGTCCACCAGCCCAGTCAGTTAAGGGAACATTGCAAATGCTACATGGAGAGCAACTGAGGAATGGTTCTGATGCAGGGAACCACACTGGAACACGGATGCCTTTAAACAACTTGGATAAGTCCAAGCATGTGGAATTCATTGGAGGATTGTCTCAAAGTTCTGTCCTTGTCTATGGAGAGTTAGCCACCCACTCGCGTTTGTGTTTCCTTATCGATGTAATTAAATCTACAGCCACAGAAGACCGGATGATGAATTTCGGATTTTCAGTATTACAATTTGGGCCCTTTGGATCTTTGGATAGCAACATACAGATTTATCTCAGATGTCACAGGTTCTTAAAGGGACTGTCACTGATTGGTGAAGAACAATCATAGTAGGAACTAAGACCAGTAATTAGTAATTTAAATAGCTAAAGTTTATTGAGAGCTCTGCATGTCAGAGGTAAGTATTAATTGCCTTACATATTTTTCTATGTTGCACTGGGTTATTAGTAACTTCTCAAAGATCACAGGTAAGTTTTAAAGCCAGAATTAATTCTAGACCTCATTGGTTACTGGACCAATTGATTGAATTATCTATTATGCTGAGTTTACAATTATACTATATGTTACTAAAATGACATTGATTTTGACAGCCACAGACTCTTTGGGGAAGCCTGAGCCATCGATATTCTGTATGAATTATTTTTATCATGTTATGGTTTCACATATTAGACAATTATTTCTTTAAATAAAAGGGGTATTAAAATCACTTTCAAAGTATTTCCAATAGTGTTTATTTCATGCAAGGTTTTTCTGACATTGCATTTTCTACCATTTACAATATCTTAAATATTTAGTTCTCTGAACTCCTCAATTACTCTAAAAACATACATGTAATAACATGCAATTTACTATAAATATGTTAGTTATTTAAAGTGATTGCTAGTTTTATGTGAATATTTGTGTATCGACCTTCCTAGACTACCTATTTAGAACATTCAGTTTTTACTCATTATTGGGTTTCGATTTGGTATAAAAGTTCAGCAAATTGTTGTGTGTGCCTGCACACATGTATATGTAAGGATGGTAATTAAAGAGAAGGTCATGGATTCAAGGGAGAGTGGATTGCATGAGACAGGCTGGAAGGGAAGAGAGAGGGGTGGAAATGATGTAAATATCGTACTCATGTATGAAATTCTCAAAACAATGAAAAGATTCAAGTTGCAGACATTAATGCAATATTCTCTTCTGTTACAGTGTAAGATCTTTGATGTAAGCATTCAACATTTCATGCTGTTAGCACTATGCAAGCTAAATTTAATTCGTAAAACATTTCCCTTGTCTGTAGACATCTTTCTTCCTCACCATTTTGTCCTGCCAAAAATATTTTGTCAAAAGTGGATTATCTTTCAATACTCTGTTTGTTTGTTTATAGCACAGCACACAAAAGGGGGAAAAACAGACTACAAATTTCATCCGCAAATGAGCTCTGATGCTCCAGACTCCACCCATTTAACTGCATCAGAATGAGTACCTTTTTGTGAACAGTCGCCATAGCACAGGCCCTGGCATCATTCAGCTGCCGAGATGAGTAATGAAAGAGTCACCTACGCAGAACTGAATGTGGCGAAGAACTCAAGGAAACAGCAAAAGAAACCAAGGGGCACTCGAAGATCCATCTCAGTAACTGACCAGGATATCACCTATGCGGAATTCAGCTTTCAAAATGCTCCTCAAGAGCATCCCCCAGTCTGCAGAGACTGCTGCTGCGAAGGTGAGACCCTCTTAACTACTCTAGGATGCCAGGGGCGTGAAAAGGTGGGCACGGAGGTTGCAATGGCCTACTTATGAGGACTGGAACTTGACCTATGCTTTTATAATTTGTGAACGTGGATTTCACTCTGTTGCAAGATTTTTTTTTTTTGGTTCTTCAAGACAAGGTTCCTTTATGACTTTGGAGCCTGTCCTGGAACTAGCTCTCCATTGCAAGAATTTACAGACCATTCTCATGAGATTATATTGCCCACAGGTGTAGAGGAGGACCTGGGACTCTCTCTCTCTCTCTCTCTCTCTCTCTCTCTCTCTCTCTCTCTCTCTCTCTCTCTCTGTGTGTGTGTGTGTGTGTGTGTGTGTGTGTGTGTGTGTAAGCAAACCTTGTGAACAGCCACCCTTTTGTTTCTGCAGGTCTTCCATGTCCTCCAGAAAAACTCATCGCTGGGATTCTGGGCATTATCGGCGTTGCCTTACTGGTCGCTGTGGTTGTAATTAGAACAGTTGCCATACCATGTAAGCATGTTTTAAGAAGATTATAAAGGAGCTCTTGACTTTAATCACTAGAAGAGCCTTTCAAAACTTATCAAAAATAGTAGTTTTTATTTAAATTTTAAAGTATGTATTTGGATTAAATGTGGAACGGTTTCCGTGATTTTGTCAATACCATAGCAATTGCATACAATGTTTACTTCTGATTTTACCAAGGATCTTATAACTCAAACACAGTTTAGAACCTCAGAAACTCTTTACTGAGATGTGAAAACTGTTTTGAAGGTGGTTTTGTCATAGGTTATGGGGTTCAAATTCAGGCTTTCAGTTGAAGTAGTTTTCTCCAAGGTTTTCGCTATATTTTTATTTATTTATTTTTTGACAATTTCAATTGTATTCCACTGTATCCTAATTCAAAATGGTACATCAGATTCAGACCAAGAAACTACAATTGTCACGTATTTTGCATGTTTATTTCATGAGAATTGTTTTAACTCTCCAGATCCTGAAGCAAACTCGCAGAACACCTCTGTGACTAGCACCCAGACAGGTACACCTCGCTTTGTCAAAGTTCTGATGCTTGTACACATTAGATTTTGTGTCTGACTAAAGCTGTGCAAAGACGATAGTAGATTTCTAGGAAGAAAATAATCTAGAAACATGAACACTACATGTTCATAAGTAAACATTAAGAGTGATAACCTCCTTAATCCCTCCTTAATCCTACAATAAGAAATACTCAGATAAAATGACCATACAAGATTTTAAATAATTGGCTTAATTTTCCTACTGGTGAACTATGATAAGACAAAAAAACCTCACTATTCCAAAAGAGAGCTTATGTTCACTGACTCTGAAAAAAGAATTTGTAGGGTAAAGACTTGTTTATTCAGTTTAGACAGATGAATAAACATGGGGGCCTTGGGCAGACTCTTTTCTTTGTTTGTGTGCTTGAGTGAATAATTTGTTTTATATTTATCAGCCTCTAGGCTATGTAGATACATCTTTACATTAATGTTAGGACCTATGAAAACATTTGTTTTTTATCATTAAGTTCGCGTTTCATCTAAATAATATTTTTTTTCTTCAGCACACACTTGTGGCCATTGTCCAAAGGAGTGGATATCATATTCTCACAATTGTTATTACATTAGTGTGGAGAAAAAAACTTGGAATGACAGTTTAGAGTCCTGCATTTCCAAAAATTCTTCTCTGCTCTACATAGAGAGTGAAGAGGAGCAGGTAAGAGCTGGGCTGTGTCAATCATTGCTTAACCTCTTTTCCCTATCAATGTGATGTGTGTAGAATCCATTCATATTCTTATAAGTTTCATAGAGTTAACAATTTTGTATGGTACTTTATTATTTTATTTTACAATGGTTTATTATATTTGTGTACTGGCAGTGAGTATTTATTTTCAGGTTTATTTTTTTTTTAATTTTATGAAAGCCACCCTTGTACAAGTCCATTTAGTCTGAAGTTCACTTTTCCATTTAATTTTACCATACACAAAAATATCTATACATGTATGATAGTTAACACTTGTCAAAAAGTGATTAGGTGGAGGTAATAACAGTCAGATATCTATGCAGATGTTTCCATTTCCTTCATGTCCATTCCCTATGCATACTCTCATGAGTTCTTCCTACACAGAACCATTTCTCTGACTTTTGCTATAATTAGCTGCATACGCCTTTGGATTTTATAAAACAGGGGTCAGACATATGTATACACTGTTACACAGACATTCTATAATGCAGCAGTTCTCAACCCCTGGTTCTCAATCCCTTTGAGGGTACAATAAGCCTTTCATAGGGGTCACTAGGACCGTAGGAAATATCAGATATTTACATTATGATTCATAACAAAAGCAATATTACAGTTATAAAATAGAAATAAAAATAATCTTATGGTTTTGGATCACCACAACACGAGGAACTGTATTACAGTGTTGCTCATTTGGAAGGTTGAGAATCACCACTATTTACTCTTTCATGGTCTTAAAGCGAGTCATCGGTCCATTATACTGCATTGATCTGCAGTGTAGTAATTTTCACAGCTGTGTTTTATAAGCATAACATTCTAAAATACACTCTATCTGATGACCCTGCAGGGAAGTGCGTGCCACACCCTCAAAGAGAGAGGCATCTTACGTGGCCACTTGTACTCATGGGATCCCTGACACCTGCTCCTACCCTGGTGTCCTTCAGTAAGTAGGAGAAGCACGTATACTACCAATCACTCCATTCAGCGTTTTCAGCCTTGCCCAGTGCTGCTGGCCAGTCTCTCTTACACAGGGAGGAGAGAGCTCACAAAATTTGCCTATTGTTTCTTGGGTTCTAGGAGAGAGCATGAAAGGTTATTTTATTCCACTGGACGAGGGACACAGGGTGTAGTCCTTTATCTTCAGGTGTCAAGCTCCTTCAGTTCTTTGTTTCAGGTCTTCAGAATTATTTGCTTGTGTCTTCTGTTATTACTCTCCAAGCTTCCTCTTGTATTTGTAACAGTATCCAAGAGAAGCTTTAATACTACAGTTTCAGTAACCCACCCGTAAGGCAATAGATAACAGTGGACGTTCAGCTAGTTAACGATGATGTGGTACCCAGAAAACAGAAACTTTGTTCACTGTATCACTCATTCTTTAATAGCAAACCATAACCTTCCTTCTGACACTGAATTGGGAGAAACAGTAGAAAAGTTGATTTCAGCACAGCACACAAAGAATTTCATTCCATTTCTGGAAATTTGTTTGAATCACTGTTATGTTTATGTTGTTAGAATGAATAACTATTAAGTTACATAAATCAATTTCCAAGTTTCCCACTAATAAAAGAATAAAACTTGTAACTATAAACATTTAAAAGTTAACTCTAGATTGAAATTAAACACATATGTGATTGTTTGGGCAGTGTAAGAAGTGTTCTCAACTTTAGTAACTTGATTTGTATTGGGCAATAACCATACTATGGCAGAATATAATAACACATTTTTAAAAGTAATAAGAGCCTTCATACTGATGAAAATTCCTTGTTTCTCTGGAAGGACTTTCTGAATTTGTTCTCACTGGTCCCATGGACTGGAGTCTTTCGGAAGAGCAGAGATCAACTATGGATTTGGAAAAAAGACTCAACTTTCAAACCAAAGTAAGTTTTCATGAATGATGCAATAGACAAGAAAAAGAAACCACACCAAGAAGCCCTCAAGGATGGTGTCAGTGAATGAAGTTGAGTTATGCACAGGCAGAATGATGCTGATCTTAGTGAACTGCTCAGGTCAATCTGAAGAATGGGCTACTTGGTTTTCCCAATCATCAGTCCTTACCACACTATCAGTGAAGACGCCATTGCTGACTTTCATGAGATCCTTCTTCTGCACTTAACTTACAGGAGTCATTCATTTAGCAGATTATCCACGTAAAGTATACCTGAATTTTGTGTTTCTGCCATTGCAGGATAACAGAGCTTTCCCATGATGAACATAACTGTGTCATGCTGTCGTCTTCTGGCCTCTTAGCAGATAACTGCACATCTTTGCATACATATCTTTGTAAGCGTAAGCTCACCAACTAAAACACACGCACTTGGAGTCTTCCAGGTAATGCCAAATTTCATAACCTGAAAATAGAGTTATAATGTGTACATTTTAAAGTGAATTATATTATGTATTTGAGTAATGAAATTTTTCAAAAATAATCATTGAAGTGTACTAAATAGACAAAAAAGTACAAATATTTATTTGTATCTGAATCTTTTTACTTATGATACTCCTTATAATGTTAAATTTTATAACAGATTGCACATATTCCAAGGCAGTTTTCTTCAGAAGCCCTGTTACATTTCCAAATTACTATCCAAGGTGTTGTCATAGGACTTTGTAGAATTCCTTTGCTGGAAGCAGCAGATTACAAATTGAGTTTCCTCAGTACAATTAGGTTACACATTTATTAACTACATTTCCATATATGTGTAGATACCCTTCCTCCTCCTTTCCCAGTCCTTCCTGATTCTCATCTACTCTGCCTCCATTTCTATTCAGAAAAGGGAGGTCTTCCAGGGATATCCACCAAACATGGTATATCAAGTTGCAATAAGTCTAGGCACATGATAAGGCTGAATGAAGCAATCCCATAGGACGGAAAGAGTCCCAAAAGCAGGCAAACTTGTCAGAAACAGATACCACTCCCTCTGTTAGAAGTTCCACCAGAATACAAAGCTATACAACTATAACATATATGCCAAGGACATATATCAGCTCCATGTCTGTTCCCTGATTGTTGATTCAGGCTCAGTGAACCCTTATGAGTCCATGCTAGTTGATTCTGTGGGTTTTCTTCACCCTTCTTTACCCTACAGTCATTCCTTACCTTCTGAAAAGTTGATCATGTTTCAACTAATGTTTGGCTATGAATCACTGCAACTGTTCCCATCAGTTGCTAGTTGGAGGCTCTCTGATTATGCCAGGATCCTGCTTCAGTATAGCAAAATATCTTGAAGAATCGTTTCATTTACTTTTTTAGCCAGTCATATTTGGTTCTATTTTAGCTATCCTATTTTTTCTTGTTTTTCCATATGAAGTTGAGTATTGTTATGTCAAGTTCTGGAAAGAATTGTGTTGGAATTATTATGGGGATTGTGTTGAATCTATAGATTGCTTTTTGTAACATGGCCATTTTTACTATATTAATCCTACTGATTCAAGAACATGGGAGTTCTTTTCATCTTCTAATGTCTTCTTCAATTTCTTTCTTCAAAGACTTGGAGTTCTTGTCATAAGGTTCTTTCACTTGTTAGAGGTTATCCCCGAAGTATTTTATATTGTTTGAAGATTTTGAGAAGAGTGTTGTTTCTGAGACTTCTTTCTCAGCCCATTTGTTATTTGTGTGTAGGAAGGCTACTTATTATTTTTTTAAGATAATCTTGTATCCATCCAATTCTCTGAAGGAATTTATCAGCTGTAGGTGTTCCCTGCTTGAAATTTTGGGGTCACTTATGTACGCTATAGTATTATCTGCAAATAATGATACTTTGACTTCTTTCTTTCTAATTGGTATCCACTTGGTTTCCTTTAGTTGTTTTACTGGTCTAGCTAGAAGTTCAGTGGCTATGGAGAGATACAGAGAAAGTGGATAGCCTTGTCTTATTCCTGATGTTAGTAGAATTGCTTTGAATTTCTCTATATTTAACTTAATATTGGCTATCAGCTTGATTAAAATTGCCTTTGTTACATTTATGTACGTCCTTTGTGTCCTTAATCTCTCCAAGACTTTTATCATGAAGAGATATTGAATTTTAGCACCTAATGAGATGATCTGTAATATGAAAAAATAAAAGACTCAGAGACTGATATTGGAGTTCAGACTTCAAGCTGAATATCAGAAAAGCAAAACAGCTGGCCACTAGCTTCTTATCTGTACCTCAGGCTGAATGGGCTGATCCTGTTTCCATGAGCTCTCACCAAGCCTCAGACTGTAACTTCTCAGCTTGGCTGGTGAATGCCTCTCTGAGACCTTGCTTTTGTCTTATGTACATCCCTAATACTGGGATTAGAGGTGTAAACTATAATTCTCTTTTAGACTGATTCACTATTGTGTAGATATAGGTGGCCTTGGACTCACAGAGATTCATCTATTTCTTAATCCTGAGTCCTAGGATTAAAGATGTGTACTAACACTTCCTAGTTTCTGGCTGCTGGGATTAAAGGTGTATATCACCACTGCCTGATCTCTATAGTTTGAGGCTGACTTGGCTTTTCTGAATCCTCAGTCAAACTTTATAAATTACAAATAATATATCACTACAATGATCATATGTTTCTTTTTCTTTTAGTTTGTTTATATGGTGGATTACATTGACAGATTTTTGTATGTTGAACCATCCCCACATCTCTGGGATGAAGCCTTCTTGCTCCTAGTGGGTGATCTTATTGATGTGTTCTTGGATTCCGTTTGCAAATATTTTATTGAATATTATTGCTCCCATATTAATGAGGGAAATTAGTTTGTAATCTTCATACTTTGATAAATCTTTTTTGTGTTTGTGTATCAGGGTGACTGTGACCTCATAAAATGTACTTGACAATGTTCCTGAAATGATTTCTAAATATAGTTTCAATATCTCAGGTCTGTAAAACTTACAATGAAAAAATTATTAAGAACAGACCAAATATTTACATCTTCTAAATACTTCTTCAAGGACCTTTAGTAAATGTTATACATCATTCGTTTCTTCTTGTTGTTTTTTAAAGTCTCTCACATTTACTTATGCCGTGTGTGTGTGTGTGTGTGTGTGTGTGTGTGTGTGTGTGTGTGCGCGCGCGCGCGCGTGTTTACAAGCCATTGCACATGTTTAGAAGTCAGAAGATAGTTTACAGGAGTTCAATCTCTCTTTCTTCCATCTGGAACAGGGTTCAAACTCAGGTAAAAATGTTTGGTGGCAAACACATTTACCTGCTGAACCATCCCATAGTGCTTTGCTTTGTTTCGGAGTCAGTGTCTCCCCATGCAGTTCAGACTGACATCAATCATTCTGTCTCTTGAGAGCACAGGTTTACAGGCATGTGCCACCAAACTTGGCTTTCTGTCTCAGCAATGAAAGTGACTTTGGTTGAGAATTTGTTTCATTTGTTGAGAATTTCAACTTGTTTTGCTTTTCTAATTTTAATCTTCTATGGTTTCATGTTCACATTAAAATCTCTCTTCTGTAATATTGCCTTTGAAGAAATCAATTTCTCATAAGAGACATTTTGCTATATTTTTGTAATTCTTAACTGTGAAAAGCCGTTATGATAATCTTTGTCCCATCATTAATTAGAAATGTGCTTTAGATTTAGAAACGACCTGCTTCAAATTTTTGATCGTTTACTGAATTTTTTAGATAAACTGAAAGGAATTGTCAGTTATGTTGACACACGCCTATGGATATGATTACTATTAATGGAGAACCTATTTTATGTTATATTTATTTTTAATTAATTTTAAATTGCTACAGTTTGAATGTCTTATGCAAGCATGACTAGGGGCAACCACAACTACTAAGTAGACAGCTCAGCTTTAAATACTTTCCAATTATACACTTGTAAATATTAGTGTAGTTCTGAGGAAATTTCCCAAGTGAATCTAAGAATATAAGCCTTCTGGGCTCACAGAAGAGAGTTTGTGAGTGAATGCCTGTGTTGACACTCCAGCTTAAGTATTTCCATAACTTCATAGATTTATCTGCTGCCTGAGGTATGGTGTAGAAGTATCTAGGTCCCATTTGGGATTAAATTCCTGTCTTCCAAGTCTATGCTTTATTATTCGTTCAATTATTTTGAGGTACACAAAAGCAAATGAAACATTATTAGTGGTTGGCATATCAGTTCTGTCATTATCAAATACTTTCTTCATCTCCAATAATGGTTATTGTCATCTTATGATAGAACGCTATTGTATCATTTTTCATTTTTTTAGTTTCATCTTTCCTTTTGCTTGTGTTAAGAGTTTCTTATTAATTTGAGAAATTTGAAATATAAGCCCGTATTTAATCTAAATTGAATGTTATTTAGCTTGTATTTAATGTACTGTTAGGTTACTGTAATATTTATAAGTTGCTTGTATTATTAGATTACTGTGATATTTATATGTTGCTTAAATATATAATTAATTCTAATTTTCATTTAATTTTTAACACTACCGACTCATGAACTCTACTTTTCTGTCTCTTTATCTTTTCACATTATTTTCTTTGATCATATGCCATTACATGAATTTGTTAATTTCACTTTAAATATTCTTTAATTTATATCTCTCATTTTACAGCATAATTCTTTACTCATTAAAATCCAATAAATAATTTTTCTCTTTTTTTTTTTTTTTACTTTTTTTCTTTCTTTTTTGTTTTGTTTTGTTTTGAGACAGTCTTTCTCTGTATAACAGTCCTAGCTGTCCTGAAACTTACTTTGTAGACCAGGCTGGCCTCAAACTCTCTGAGATATGCCTGTCTCTACCTCCAAAGTACTGGGATTAAAAACATGCGTCACCACCACCTGGCTCATATTTCTACTTTTATTCACAATTTATTCTACATTTTCTTTCTGAAATGGTGTGATATACTGTATCTTATCCTAACAAACTTTTAAATTAGATATTTTGTCATCAATATTGTACCCATTTACTATCTATTTAAAGAAACCCAACAGTTCCTTCTACTCTTCCTATTTGTATGTCCAAGGCTGTTATTCACAAGAATTTATCTTTAAAACTTCAAATTTTTCCTTTAGTTATAGTCAAATGATGACTCTCTTCTTGGTAATTCCTGAAAAATGAATTTTGGCATCATACTAAAAAATACATTTACATCTTTTTGCTTCCAAATTATTCATCTTTAAGTGTTCACATACCTTTAACAAGAGTCAAAGGAAAGTTATTTTAATAATACTATCCTGAGAGATGGATAACTTGAAAAGATGCAATTATTCTTTATTATTTTAAAAAATAATAATCCATGTTTAAAAGGATAAATTATAATTACTCTTATTATATTAAATCATTTACTTGGTTTTTATTTTTTGTTACATCATTGTTTGACCATAGATTTCATGGAGTTACATGTCAGAAAAGAGAAAGCTCACATCATTGCATATAATAAAAATGTGGTCCATATAAGTAGGATTACATAATTTAAAACTTCACGTCATTGTCTATTCTGGTAACAGATATAGCTATATTGAACAAGGACATGGAATATTAATGAATATGAGGTGGTTTACATTATTTGACAGCTTTAAATCTTGAATGTACTAATTAATATTTAAGAAAAACAAATTGAGCATGCATAGAGTACATATATGGAACACTTAAAAAATAAGATTCAGTTTATAAAAGTCAAGTGTAATTAGTAGAAACTATGACAGTTTCATTGTAGGAGGCACGTAGGTCTTTGTGCTTACAGATCAGCCCAAGAAGGACCAGGAATGTTAAACTCAGAATGTTCTCTCCAAAGTGATGCCGTTTTCCACCCAGAAGCCTGGAAGCAGAGGTGGGAAATAGCCTGCTGGCTTTTTCAATGTCTGTGTGACCAAAGATCCTTATCTTAAGCCTGATTTCTTAGTAATTCTATTGAACCTATTTGTATTGACATGTTGCATGTTCTTTATAAAGAGGTTAGATATATTCACATCTCTTTGTTATTGAAAATATATCCTTCTCATATTACATCCTGAGCACAGTCTCTCTTCCCTCACTCCTCTTAGCTCTCCTCCCAGTCTCCTCTCTCCCATAGATCCACTACCCCTCCATTCCCTCTTCAGAAAAGAGAAGGCATCCAAGACAGGACAGCACAAACTAGGAGAAAACAATATGCAATAAAAAGCTAAAGCTCTCATATCGAGGCTGGATAAGTCAACCCAGTAGGGGGTTTTGTTGTACACATGAAGTTGAACTAATTATCATCAGGAAACATTGCTTTTCCATGCTGAAACTGAATATGCCTAAAATAAACTACTCAAGATCAGACTCTCGAAATTTGAACCAACACTGGCTACTGAGTCATGTTGAGCCATGTTGAGCTGAATTTTCTTCTTGTTTCCCTCAGATCATTAACCTGCTGGTTGTGGTGATCTGAGAGAACCCCACAATTCATGACTCAATGACAATGACATTCTTAGGAATGCATCATTGCATGGCCTCATTATGTGCATAAACAGCCCAAAGAAAATAGGCAAACTGTAGAAGCTGCAGTGTCTTCAGCTAAGCAACATTGTGGGACGATAGTTACATATGATTCATCGTTGACCAGAATATCTTCATTCTGGTCATTGGTTTGCTGTGTTGCTAGGAAATCTCCTATATGCTGGACAAATACTGTGACACTGAGACACATTCTCAACACATAATGTCTTTAGGTGGCCAGTGACTATATAGGTTATAATAAATTTTATTTCTATAAACTTTAGGAAATAAAAACTTAGATTTGTTTGAGCTCAGTCTTCCAGAGGTTTCAAGGCTGAGAGCATCCCTAAAGTGACAGATAACAGACTCTCCTTTGCTTGATATTGATTTTGTGTATTTCATGGGCTAGTGTAATGTCAATTAACATTTTCAAACATAAAATACTTGTTTCTTTAAAATTTTAAAGATTTGTCAGAACTATTGAGCCATTCAAAATAAAGAATAGCATTTTATTTTAAAGAGTAATAGAAGTCACTAAATAGTAGCATTATAGTGAAATAATTACTATACATGTGAAAAAATACTATCCCCATACCCATGGAACATCTAGTCTTTGACCATTATCATATAACAAAATTTTCATTAAAACCTGAATCAGCATTTACAAAATAAAACAAAAAAATAGTTCAACTCTTCTAATCATTAGTTTCAACAATATTCTAGACATTGTAATTAAGACATGTATGTATTCTTGCTTTAGATTACTAATATTTTAACTTAGGATCATTTTTCTAATACTAAAAATTACATTCCAGATAAAGGCTTTACTCCAGATCGCACCTTCACAATTTTGTTTTGGAAACAGGTCTTACATAGTTGTATTTCTAGAGCAAGCATGGATTTCTCCAGACCAGGCAGTCCTTGAGGTTGTTCTGAGTGATGGCTGATGTGGGAGGGCCCAGCCCCTTGTCCATGGTACCATTCCTAGCCTCATAGTGCTGGCATGCTTAAGAAAGCTAGAGAGGGAAGCAGCAAGCCCTGTTCCTCCCTGATTTCTGCTTCATTTCCCACCCTGGTTTCCTTTTGTGATGGATGTGACCTCAAAGTACATCCTCAAACAAATCATTTCCTCACTTAGTTGCTTTATCACAACAACATAAAAGGCAACCAGAATGCCAGGCTTTTGTTCCTTTAATTTTGTCACTCTACTGTGTTCCAAGGTCCAAAGTATGGGTTTATGTTGAACCCAGCCATCTGTTGAAACTTTCTTATTTGTGCAGGGAGGTACAATTCACAGGTCTGTGGATATTTTAATTAGATTTTTTTTGATGCAGCTGTAAGATAAGAAGTTTTCACTCCACATCTCACCCAGTTGGATGCTCCCAAGCTTCCCAAATTATATGTTTATGAAAATATGCAATATTAGTGTCTAAAGCACATTTACTTAAAGTGTACTTCCTAATACCTCCTGCTACAGAGCTGAGAGGTTACTATGAACCGAATCAGGCCAAGGAACTCAAAACTGAGTGCAGGAAATGAAGGAGAGTTGGAGATACAACCTAGTGACTGTACAGGAAGGTGTTTATCTGGAATTTCATCCTCAAAGTGCTCCCCAGCACCTTGTAGGAAATGACAAGAATTGTCATGGCTCAAATGAAATATGTATTCACCTTTCTGTGTAACTATCCAAGGTTATTCACTTGGATGGTGAGCTGAAGATGGAAACAGGCTCATTCACATGTGATAATCCAACCTCAAACCTGGATATGGTAAATATATTCACATATATCACATGATATATGCATACCTCATACGATGTATGCATGTAACTACTATGTTGCTAAAAGCTCTAGCTCTTTACAAAGAACTCATGGGGTAACATATTTATTACAATATAGATATCCATTCCAAAAAGAAAATAGCCTTGTGGATGTAGCATTTTGGTTGAGTGTATCTCTTCTATTCCACATGCATGAAACCCCCTGTGCAGCTGTCTCCATCCATCTTTCCCGTTGCTTCCATTTTCCCTGCAGATTTCCTGCCCCCTTCAGATGAACTTGTGGCTGGATCCCAAAGGATCATCTGCTCCCTCTATATATATCCCGCTTGGTGGTGACAAACGCTGATATTACCCGTAATATGATGATTGGCGGGTCATTTTCACTCTGACAGCTGGAAGTCTCTGTACATATTTCTCTGTACATAGTCATCAGAGGATACGTTGAATATATTTTCATATTCATGTAATTAAAAAAATCTGTCAAACATTTATTCTGAATTTATGGAAAGTACAATGACAGTTATTGCAAAGTTTTTTTTTTAATATCTACGTTGTGCTTTTGTAACTCAAAGACATGCATCTAGAAACCCTTATTATTTGTAAGTGGTTACATTAACTATTGAAAAGTTTGGTCAGTTTTGAACCTGTAAGTTTTTATAATACTTTCTTCCCATAAGTTCATTTCTATATTCAATAAATTTTATTGTATATTCCTATATTTTGATATCAAATTATTTAAAACTAAGAAATTAACATTCATATTTTTATGAATACTAATTATTTAAGAGTGTCTATTGTAATTACGGACAGAACATTGCTTTCTCAATAAACCCCAACAAAGTACACAATAATTTCCAAAGTCCCAATATTTGCACAGGTTGTATTTGTGTTGATCTCAGCCTATGCAAAGTGATCATGACTTTCAGGGGAAATAAACAATAAGAATTAGTTAGTGAATCTTCACAAATAAAGACTTTAGGAAAACATTTATACTTGTATAATATTAAAAGGAAATGTTTGAAGTCACTATGTCCTTTGGTATTAGTTTCCTCAAATTTGCTACTGTTTTTACATGACAAGATTTAAATAATTGTTCTGTTTCAAAAAAGTGTGTGCCATAACTTTGGGGCAATATGTAGAGTGAGTTTTTCTTTGTTTTCCTTATATGAAGATAGATTTAGGGATTTGTGCCTGACATTGTTCTGTGCATGTGTGTATTAGTGTGTATGTGCTGTTTTCTATGTAACAGCCTATGAGGTTGCATAGCTGTAATTTGTATGTGCCAGTTTATAGCTATGCAAAATGCAGAGTCATTGGTAAATATCAATGTTGTTACTGATTGTTACTGTTTCTAATCTTCATTATGTTATTGCCATACTACATAGTTATATTTGAATCTTTGTCATATTCAAAACTAAATATTCCTATATAGACAGTTACAATTAAGGATAAATAAGTGAGTAATATAAGTACATATTTAATAGTCTATTTTCTGTCATACTGATGCAATGTAACATTGATAATATTCAATAATATATTTCCCACCAAAGTTTTATATCATTGAAGGAATTCTAAACAAAAATTATTTTTAAAAATGAAATAAAATGTGGTCACTTCAAGAATTTTAACAAAAATATGAGATGACATTTTGTGGGGTTATTTTTTGCCAGTTATTAGAAGATGAAAATTTATTGATTTCACTAACATCAAGTTTAGTATCAGTTAATAGTGTACTCTGAGTTTTATAATGTTTCCATGACTTTTCCATGATGTCATGGCATGGTGTAACTATGAGGAGGAAAACGGTACATAATACCATTTATACTTGGTGTGGGCCCTCCAGCATGGCTAGATATGAGACAGAGAGAGACTTAAAATATAAGAACCTTCCCGTGGAAACACTCAAACAATCCAAGAATTGCCAAGGCAAATGGTGGCATTCTACAAACCATCAGTGAGGCCTTATTGCTAAAAACAACACTTACACAGCTCTTTGAACATGGAGAAGTTGAGCTGGTGTCTATGTAGAGACCACTCCTGCTGACTAGTGTTCATGGGATTAGAAGATACTCTGATTGCTACTAAGTGAGAAAAGTAAACACCACCCAGCTACCAAAGTGCAAGCAACCAACCAATATTCGATTGGATTTAAGGCTCGCTCCGTGAGATGGAATCCACATGCAAAGCTTTTTGATGGCCAAGTGCACGAGACTAGATAGGCCAGAGACCTAGGGGAAATCAAACGCTAGAGCTCCACTAAAGGATAGCGACAAAATGACTCCTAAATGGCATTCTGATACACTCATAGACCAACGTTTCACTCAGCATTCATCAGCAAACCTTCTCTTTGCATCAGATGGAAACAGATAGAGATCCACTACTGAACACGGTGCAGAGAGTGAGAGACTTTGGAACTTGCAGTCCTAAAAGGGATGTCTCCATCAAATCCCTCCCCTTGTGACTCAGAGAACTATGGAAGAGAAGACCAAAAGAGCGCAAGAGCCAGAGGGGATGGAGGACACAAAGGAGTCAAGGCCTTCCAGGCTCAATGGGGCTTGCGCGCATATGAACTCACAGAGACTGTGGCAGCATGCACAGGGCCTGCCTGGATCTGCCTCCGACAGCGTCCTGGAACTGATGGGAAAGGAAAAGAGGACACATGTCCTCCTGCCTAACCGAAAAGCTACCTCCAATCAGTGGCCACTGGCAAATGAAAATTTAATTTCTCCAAGAGAGTCACATCGAGGAAACAAACCATTCTTAAGGACAGGCGCGGTGCCCAGCTGTCAATGGCCAAAATAAAACAAATTCAATGGCTTTTTTTTTTTTTTTTTTTTTTTTTTTTTTGTCTTACAGGTTCTTTGCATATATATTAGGGCTTACAGTTTGGGGTTTCTATGTGAGTGAATGTCTGTCTCTGCATCCATATGTGTTTCTTATGCTTTTCCTTTGGTTCTTTTCCTTGTTCAGTTGTTTTTCCTATTACGATTTGTTTGCTGGTGATTTATGTTATATTATATTATTATTACTCTTTAGATGCCTGATTGTTTTCTAACGAGAGACAAATAGGGTATGGATTCAGATGGGAGGGGAAATATGGAGGAGCTGGAAGGTGTAGAGGGAAGACAACGGTAATCAGAATGTATCATATACAAAAATCTTTTTTTCAGTAAAGGAGAAAACCCATCTAAGAATCTCCTTTAAGAGGAAGCTTGGTGATTAATCCTCTCTCGCCTTTCTAGAACACACAGAAATTCTTGTAAGGTACTCGGAAAATGACACAGGACACAGCACACTTGGCTGACCACTAAGCCCTTTCAACAAGAACCCAAAGTGACCTACATTGTAAAGGTGTGATGAGAAAACCTGATTTCAAAATCAGGCGAGTGTGAGAATTTCCTGTTCCACCTTCAGTGACACATTAGTGAGAAATCTCCTTTTCCACTCTTGACTCACCCACTGCGAGCCTCATGCCTCACGGCGGCAGCCTGCCTGGTTCACTGTGACTGTTGTCCTGTGAGAGTTTCACTTTTTGGTACTCAGCTCCCACAGGCCTCCAGTGAGCTCCACACCGCATTGCAGGAGGCCTAGCTTTATGACAACAGAGGGAACTTGTCACTGGCCCCTGGTGTCCACCAGCCCAGTCAGTAAAGGGGACATTTCAAATGCTACATGGAGAGCAACTGAGGAATGGTTCTGATGCAGGGAACCACACGGGAACGCAGGTGCATTTACACACCTCAGGGAAACCCAGCACGTGGTACACTCTGGAGTTATCTCAGAGTTCTGTCCCTGTTGCCTGTGGAGAGTTAGCCACCCACTGGCCTTTGTGTTTCCTTATCGCTGTAATTAAACCTACAGCCACAGGAGACCTGATGATGGAGTGTGGGTTTTAAGTGTTACCACTTGTGCTCTGTGGAACTTTAGATAAAAACATATGGATTTATCCCAGAAGGCACAGATTCAGGGTTTGACACACCAAGCTGGGTATGAACTGCCTTACGTGAATTATGTTGTATAAAATTGAACTTAGAGTTTAGAAGAATAGTTATTAGATTTAAGATAATAATAATATTTAACGTCACGTGTTACATGTCTCAAAGCCAGAATTGATTCTAGAACTCAATGATTTTGGGATTCAAGGATCAAATTACTGGATCAAATCTGTTATAACTGAATTAGAAATCAGATAAAATGGCAGATTTTAACAATCAGGTTCTCTGGGTAAGTATGAACCAATAATATTCTATAGTGTAGAGCTGTCATTTACTACTTTATAAATTCAAAGTTTAACCATTAAATTGATTACATGTTATTTCATCAAATAAAATACGTTTAAAAATCTCTTTCAAGAAAAATAATTTTTGTGTTTCAAATATTGTTTATTTTATGCATGTTTATTTTGACACAAAATGTTTTCCAACATTTACAATCCTCTTAAAAATATTTTGTAATTTCTTTGAACTCTTCTAGCACTCCAGATAAGATGCTAATTTAATAGCACATGGCTCATTTTATTAAATTTATATAAATCATTGCCCAAGAATAAGAATATGTAAGCAATTAGAATATAACGTTTCTAGTCACTGATCTAGAACATTCAGTTTCTATTCCCTATTGCATTCAAATATCATAAAACTGATACATAATTATTTATTATAGCATTGGGTCTTTTCATGAAGGCGTTAAAATATTTCATGGTGTTATTCTTAGGAAAACTGAATTTAATGTATAAATTTTATCCTTCATTTATGAACCTTTTTGTCTCAGTAATTTGGTTTTTATATCTTCCATGCTTATAATAATTTGTTGAAGTTAAAGTACTTTTAGTTTTATTTTTTAACCATAACGATGAGCTCAAGACCCATGGCAAAATTAGACATTAGAGCTGTGCAAAAGCTCCAGTCTCTGAGCTCCTCCTCTGTGACTGCATCAGGATGTGTAGCTTCTTAAATAGAATCTTCACTGTGGTCTTCACCGGGCTGTAAACAAGCATGACTCATCTCCTCAGAACCGAAGGTGGCTCAGGACCCAGGAAAACAGCAAAGGAAACCCAGGGGCACTCACAGCTCCACTCCAGTAACCCGGAATCACCTGATGGAGTTCAGCCTTCAAAACGCTTCCCACAATCACCTGGAGATCAGCAGGCACTGGTACTGCAGAAGTAAGGCATTGAATGGACCTTCAGTGTAACTGCTCTGGGGTGCCGGCTGGCATGCAGACAGGAATAGAATCCTAACTGGAAGGAAAGGATCTCTAATTTCACCCATGCTGCTATAATTTAAGATGTGAGCAGTTTTCATTCAGATATTGATTCAAGAATATATGGTCATTTTGTTCACTGAAAATGCAATGATATTCCCTACAAACAGTCCAATTACAGCATAGAGCAGAGCCTGCTGGTGTGTTTATTCTTTTGATTCTCGAGTTCTCTTCTCTGTAAACCCTGAGAACATCTGTGTCTGTTTTCTCT